CCCTACATTTGTACCCTAAAGTTCAAAGTGGGGATACAGCCTTGACACCCCTCCTAGCCACCATTGTTCCGGTGTTCTCATTATACGCCTGGTCATGATCTCGTGAGGAGTGTATCCATGAGCCCCCATGGATGATCATATTGCCATCAATACAAATGGTAGTTTTCTATCCCAATTTTTCCCAGAAGTTTCGATCATTTCCCTCAGAGCTGTCTTGAGGGTTCTGTTGGTCCTTTCCACAGCCCCCAAGCATTGTGGATGGCCTGCAATGTGGAGTGTCTGGCAGATATTGAAGGCTCGGCAAAGGGTTTTAACTATTTCCCCCACAAAATGGGACCCTTGCTCTGAGTCGATGACAGATGGAATCCCAAACCTTGAAAAGGTCTGTTCAAGCAGTATTCACGTGGTAGCGGTTGCAGTATTATTGCATGTTGGATACACTTCCAACCATTTCGAAAATGGATCTATTATGACCAAGCTGTATCGGTTACCCTGTCCTGAACATGGTAGGGGACCAATGTAGCCTATTTGCAATCTATGCCAAGGTCCTTCGATCAGTTGGTGCTGCATGGATCCCTTAACAGTCTTGTAGTCAAGGTTGTTGGCAGCACATGCCAGGCAGTTCCATATGTAGTTTTCCACTTCTTTTGCTAGGTCTGGCCACCATCCCACTGTTAGTATTCTTTTAATGTTTTTTTTCCACTCCAAAATGACCTTGATGGTGGGCCAAAGCTTGCCTTCTCCTGAGACTGGTGGGAATTAGTAGGATGGGTATTTCTCCACTGTTGTTCTGTTTAGCTGCCATAATCAGCCCACTATCATGTTGGAAGATTTTATACCCACGATATTCCTTCTTATTTAGCAACTCCATAATGCTTTTATCCTGTTTTTGCAGGTTGACGACATCAAACTGGTTGTTAGCCTCCACTGGTTGAATCTTGTGTACCACTTCTAGTGACTTCACCCATAAGGTTTCAGGTCCTAACAGTGCCGCTTGATTGGCCAAGAGATCAACCTGATAGTTCAGAAGCATGATCTCTGCAGAGTTATTTCTATGGGCGTGCACCTTGAACAGGTGGGTTGGCTGCTTCCTCTCCTCTGCTAACCTCCAGGCATTAGGTATTTGGTATATGCTACTGGCTTGTTATCTGCAGACTTCATGTCCCTGTTTATCCAGACTGGCATCCAGTCTATTAGGGCTCGTATAACGCAATCTGAATCAGAGCAGATCATTATAGGTGTTTCCTTGTCTGCTGCATCAAGGGTTGCCACTGCAGCAACTATTTCTGCAGCCTGTGCAGATCTAGGGGTGACAGTTCCTTGTAAGATGACATCTGTTGTCACTTGTAATGTGGCATAGCCAGCGCATGGCTTGCCCTGATGATATTGGCAACTGCCATCGGTGACCCACAAATCCATACCCTCATCCTTGGCCTTTTTATAAGAAACCTTGAGGTGGAATGGTGAAGACACTTCTTCGATGTCCGTAGGAGGCAGTGGACATTCGTGCTCCTCTCCCTGTGTGAGTAGTGCAAATGGAACAGCAGAGAGGATAGGCACCTTGTTTACCTGAATGTCCGATTTAAGAGGTTCAACATCCACCCTGCAAGGTGGGGATTGGAGATCCGACCTTCATTAATCTTCTCAGATAGGACGTACCTGATAGGTGTGTGAACAGTCCTCAATACAACGAGGGACATCCCACTAAAGTATTTCCAATGCTTTAGCACCCAGGTGAGTGCTAGCACCTCCCTCTCGCAAGGCAAATACCTTTTCTCAATTTCCATCAGAACCTTGGACACGAAGGCCACAAGTTTCAGGCCTGTCCCACTATTGTTGTAACAATACCGTACTTAGTCCACGGTCTGTGGTAGCCAGTTGGAGATGGTATGGCTTGCCTGGTTGGGGGTAGACGAGGGCTGGAGAGCCTGTTTGAGTTTGAAGGAGAGCCTGTTTGAGTTTACAGAAGGCAATTTTCTCCTCCTTACCCCATCTCCATTCCTGGCGTTTTCTTAACAGCATGTAGAGGGGCTGTGCCAGCTTGGAGTATCCTTCCACAAAGTCCCTGAGAAGCCAGTCAGGCCCAGGAATGACTGAAGCACTGAAATACCTTGCAGTGCAGGCAGCTTGCTGATTAGTTCCACCTTAGCTGCATCAGGTCGTCTCCCTTGAACACCGAGCTCCATACCCAGGTAAGTAACCATTCGTTGTAGCATTTGGGGTTTACTGGGGCTGATGATAAAGCCAGTTCTTTCAATGGCCTGCAGCACCTCTTTTAGAACCTTCAAGTTCTCCTCCTTGGACACAGTAGCTATTAAGATGTCATCAACATAGCTAATGATCTTGTGTCTGCTGTTAAGATTCTCCCACTGTGATATTGCATGCTATATGCTTTATGAAAATATGCTTGGAATGTGACTATAATGTAACTGGAATATGCTTTATGCAAAAGGTCTCTTGTAAGGTATCATTACAAAGCATATAATCTACTGAGTGTGTTCATCCTATTTGTATGTATGTATCATTCTTGTATCTAAAACTGGAAATATGAAGTTAACCCTGAGGTCCTATTGTAATTATGCAAAGTGTGGGCCATTAATGGCGGGTTAGAATCTTGATGGCACCCACTGACTAGGACAATTGGCTGTAGATGGTTTATTTACCTGCAAGCCTTCTTGTGGACATGGGGGCCAGCCTCTTACAGTGACATGTGACTATGTCACCTGATACTGGAATCCATCTTAAAGCTGGTGCTTTTCCATTTAGAAGGAGGGGTGGGAACCCAGAGAGACAAAGGATTCCTGCCTTGGGCCAAAGCTACAAAAGGGGGTGGAACAGAACAAAGGGGGCCAGTCATGAGCAATCCTCTAGCTACCACCTGAGCTGGAACAAGGACTGTACCAGGGGAAAGGATTGGGCTTAGACTAGGAAGGAGTCTCGTCTGTGAAAGAAGCTTATTGGAACATCTCTGAGGGTGAGATTTACCTGTATTCAGTTTCTTAGGCTTAAACTTGCGTGTTTTGTTTTATTTTGCTTGATAACTTACTTTGTTCTGTCCGTTATTACTTGGAACCACTTAAATCCTACTTTTATTCTTAATACAATTACTTTTGTTTATTACTGAACCCAGAGTAAGTGATTAATACCTGGGGGAACAAACAGCTGTGCATATCTCTCTATCACTGTTATAGAGGGTGGACAATTTATGAGCTTACCCTGTGTAAGTTTTATACAGAGTAAAATGGATTTATTTGGAGTTTGGATCCCATTGGGAGCTGGGTGTCTGGGTGCTGGAAACAGGAGTACCTGCTGAGTGGTTTTCAGTTAAAGCCTGCAGCTTTGGGGACATAGTTCAGACCCTGGGTCTGTGTTGCGGCAGGCTTGCATGTCTGGTTCAACAAGACAGGGTTCTGGAGTCCCAAGCTGGCAGGGAAAACGAGCTCAGAGGTAGTGTCAGCACATCAGATGACAGTCCCAAGGGGGTCTCTGTGACCGAACCTGTCACACCCACATCCTGGATACATACTTGTGACAGAGATGGCACATTATGATATCCCTGTGGCATTTTCGTGAATGTCAGCTGTTGCTTGCAATATATAAATGCCAAATTTGTGCAGTGGGATAGAAAAGAAAGCATTTGTGAGATCCAGCACCGTGAACTACTGGGCCCCCACCGCAATAGTTGACAATATTTTTTGAAATTTTGCCATGACAGGTGTTAGTCTAGGGGTAACCCGATTTTAATTCATGGTAATCCACGGTCAACCTCTACGTGGTATTATCAGATTTTAATATGGGCCAGGTTGGCGAGTTGCAGACACTATCCATTTCAACCAGCAGTTTCTGATTTTTGAGGGAGTCAATGGTACACCATATTCCTTCTTCGGCCTCCTTGGAGAATTTATATTGTTTTTGAGGCCTGGGATTAGGTCCCTCAACCATGACTTCAGCCTGGATTTTTCCACACTGCTATTTATCTTTTGCAAAGACTCGCGGATACTGGCTGGTAACTTGCTTCACTGCTTCTTCCCATTCAGGAATGATGATTGCCTGTAGGGCTTTAACTGCTGCCACCCGATGTGAAGCTGGCACAACAAATCCTCCCAACTCTTGTCCGTCTTACTTATCATATTATTTGGTAAATCTACTATTACATTTAGTCTTTTTAGCACATCTGTGCCCAAAATACAATGTCCGTCCAGACACTGAATGCTAAATACAACCTTAGTAATTAAGGTGCCTATAATGCAAGAAATTGGTTTTAAGAAAGGAACAGTGCATTCCTTACCATTGTAACCTTGTAGTACCTTAACTTCTTGCACTGGCAGTTCTTTAACTTTAGGTGCAGCTCGAGTGCAGATGATAGATGTAGTGGCACCTGTATCCAGTAGCATAATTTGTGTTATTTTACCAAACTCTCTCCTCTGTGTGACCATCGTCAAGGCCTCCCCCATACATCGCTGTAGATAGGTTCCACACAGGAGGGAGATGAGAGAGCTTGGCACCCTCATTGTTGCTGATGACTTGGTGGAATGTCACTGCATCCTCTTTCATATTGGGCTAGTTTCCTAAACAGCTCCTCCGTAGGAAGACGATGAAGTTGGTCCTTGGTCTCGTATTTTAGAAGCCTTCTCCAAAGAGTAGATCTAAATCCTCTCAGATCAGCAAAATGTCTCTGTTGTAGTCTTTGTTGTCCTTGCTGTATTCCTTATTGTACTTAGCCTGGTCTTGGCTGGAGGAGTTCTGGCGGTCTGTAGCTGTTTGATTTTTATGAAGTGAGCTGCCCTTTTTTCCCCTGGATTTTATTGATTGGCTTCCCTGGATCACACTTGACTGCTGCTACCTTTTTTCTATTCCAATGACTTGGGAAGGCTTCTTGCTGGAGTTCGAATGCCTCTCTCATTTTTATTCTCCAGTTCTTGGAGAGTGGTGGTTCTTGCATTTCCAGGTCCCATAGAAATCCTTATAGCAGGCAGCAATCCCTGAATAAGAGTCTCCTTAAAATCAGGTGCATCACAAGTGGCCAACCCGTTAACCACAGGAGACATGCCTGACAGCCAGCATAGCAACCGTTTTCATAGCAGAAACCTCTCCGGCCTTTCCCCTGTCTCTGTCTTTCTGAATAGTACTTACCCGTAACATTTTAATGTAGATAATATACCTTAAACACAGCATCGTACACTTCTGCAATGTCTGTCATGTTGGCTACCTGAACATTCCCAGGCAGAGCGTCAAACTTTCCCCCCCTTAACAAAGAGACTGTATCCTCTTTACTTAAAGCTGGCATGCTGCTAATCTTAGTGAGCCAGTCCAGAGCCAACTCTATTGAGGACCCAAGTTCTTCCCCATTGCATGTACCTCCTCTGGTCCAAATGGTTTCATCTCATACCTGGTTTCAGGTAGTTTATGTGGTCCATAGTGTACCACAGTAGTGGTTACTGGAGCCACTGGTGGATATGATGCCTCCTCCTCCCTTCCAGTAAAATATCATAGAATCATAGAATATCAGGGTTGGAAGGGACCTCAGGAGGTCATCTAGTCCAACCCCCTGCTCAAAGCAGGACCAATTCCCAACTAAATCATCCCAGCCAGGGCTTTGTCAAGCC